ACAAATTGAAAGTTAATGGAGTGCTTACAGATGATTTTGATTTAATATCCAACTACTTTAGTCACTTTTATACAAAGTTTTATAGTTCAGGTTTCTGTCAAACATCGGCTGAAACATTTCTAAACTCATTAACAATTAAAACTATAACTGAAGATGAAATGTTGACTTGTGACAGTGCTATTACAATTACAGAGGTTAAGGATGCCATTAATTCACTAAAAAACAACAAGTCACCTGGTACAGATGGATTGATATCAGAATTTTACAAGATGTTTTCCTCTGATCTTGCTCCATTTTTATATGAAGTCTTCATAGAAAGTATTAATAAGGAACACCTCCCTACAACCAAGACTCAAGGCTTGACAACTTTATTTCCTAAATCAAACAAGGACATTAATTTCTCGATAATTGGCGTCCAATATCCTTGCTAAATAATGATTATAAGGTTTTTGCCTCATTTTTTGCAAAAAGGCTGAAGAAAGTATTAGACTCAATTATTGAAGAAACACAGTCAGGATTTATGACTAAAAGACACATAACAAATAATATTAGGTTGGTCATGGATGTTCTTGATTATGCTGAATTACTGGAAGATAATGGCTTTATTTTGTTCCTAGACTTCTACAAGGCATTCGATACGGTGGAGCACCAGTTCATATTACAGTCTTTGAGGAAATTCGGTTTTGGTAATTACTTCTCCTCTGTCATAAAAACGTTGTATACAAATTGTAATAGCTCCATCAAACCCTCACATGGCACATCTCCAAGATTTAACCTTTATCGTGGCATAAGACAAGGGTGCCCTTCAAGTCCCTACCTCTTCTTACTTGTAGCACAACTTCTGGCATATCATATTAGAGCCAGAGCTGTAGAAGGCATCTCTTTCCTCGGCAAAGAACTTATCATAACACAATTAGCAGAGGACACTACATTATTTCTAAAAAATGAAAACCAAATATCAGCAGCTATCAGTGTTATCCAAGATTTCTCGAAAGCCTCTGGCTTGTGCCTAAATATTAAAAAATGTGAACTTATGGCAATTAAAGAATGTAAGAAAACTGAACTTTACGGTATTCCTCTTAGGAGTGAAGTGCAGTTCTTGGGTATTCTTATCACCAAGGATCAAAACAAAAGAAGCACTTCCAACTTCAATCCAGTCATTCAGAAAACAAAGAAAAAATTAAATCAATGGCTCGTACGAGATTTATCTTTAAGAGGGAGAGTCCTCCTCACAAAGGCGGAGGGAATCTCACAATTAACATATGCTGCTTTAGCTTTGCATCTTACTGACAAAACTCTCAAGGAAATTGATAAAGTACTTTTTGACTTTATGTGGAAAAACAGGACACATTATTTGAGAAAGGCTGTTGTTATGAATCCTTACGACAATGGTGGAATTAACCTTTTAGATTTTCAAACTCTAAATAATACATTTAAGATAAATTGGATAAAGCAAGTTTTCAGAAATCCCACTTCTATTTGGAACACTATTTCTTCATATTTATTATCAAAACTAGGAGGCATAAACTTTTTTCTTATCTGTAATTTTGATGTTGATAAGATCCCTGTGAAAATGTCTGCTTTCCATCGTCAGGCTTTTCTCTCATGGTCTCTCTTCTACAAGCATAATTTCTCTCCTCACAACTGCTTAATTTGGAATAACAAAGACATTTTGTATAAACATAGATCTCTCTTTTTGGATTACTGGTTTCAAAACAACATCATATGGGTTGACCAACTATTTAATGAGGAAGGACTATTGCTTACATATAGAGAATTTCTTGGAAAATATAATATTCCTGTTACTCTGGGTGACTATGCAAAAGTTTTTGGAGCCATTCCCTCAGGTGTGTGTATGTTATTTAAAAATGTAAGTAGGATTGATACTTAAGAGCTAACTCTTTCATCATTTAAAGACTTACCTGCAGGGAAGGTTTGCCTTACCAATAATCCTGTCAATAACAATCAAGCTGTAAGAGCTATGTTTCAAAAAGAGTTATTAGTAAAACCCAAAGTCGTTTCATACTGGAATGTGTTTGTGGATGACATACCATGGAAGAAAGTCTGGCTTCTACCCAACAGGTATTTAATTACTAACAAAGTAAAAGAAGTATCCTTCTAACTTATTCATAGGTTCTACCCAACTAAAACTTTTATCAAAAATAGATTTAAGAAAAATATTGACTCTGAATGTAGCTTTTGTAAAGAATGTCCTGAAACTATTGTGCATCTGTTCTGGAATTGTCAAACAGTAGTAATTTTTTGGCAGAAATTGTGTGACTATATTCATAATTACATTGGAAGAATGTATTGTTTGGCTTGTTTGATTCTCAATTACAAAAAAATTTGATTTACCTAATTCATCTATTATTATTATTGTCAAAGTATCATATCCACTCATGTAAATTTTCTTGTAAGAGGCCAACCTTTGTTGCTTTCTACAATAGTTTCAAACAATACATTCTTTCAATAAAATTTTCTAAGAAACAGAAGGCACTTGAGACTGTAGAAATCTGTACAGCTCTGAATGTTTTCACTTGAACTCTGACCCCCCCTAGTGTGAAAGTATAGCATTTCCCCCTCCTTTCTTTTTTATTACTTTACTTTTTATTTAATTCATTTGTACATGTAGTACGATAAAATGTTTGAATGGTAATCACAGTTCTTTATACACTGCTGGATATATACACTTTTTCTTTCAATAAAAAAAAAAAAAAACAAGTACTCATCGCTGCACATGACTTGTAAACAACTAACTACAGTGTTGGTTAGGCAAGGTGGAGAAGTGAGGAGCGGGGGGAGGGGGTGTGCGGACATTTCGTGCGCGGAAAAGAAGTGAGGAGCAGCGGGAAGAGCGGAGCGGGGAGCAAGGAGAGGAGAGGGTAGAGGTGCACGGAGATTCCGTGCGTGGAGAAGTGATGAGCAGGGAGAAAAGCGAAACAAGGAGAGGGGAGAGGAGCAGGAAGGGGTGCAGAGAGGGGTGCGCGGAGATTCAGTGCGAATTAAGCTATTACCACTACACGTAGCAGCAAGCGGACTCTGAAAATTACGTTTTCAGACATAGGATGTCGCATTCGTGTCCTGAAAAACATTTGTCTAGCTCTTGGAAATAAAGTACGTTTTCATAATAAGCAGAAGTTTCCTGTCCAGAAGTAATTTGTGGACCAGTGCGTCAGTCTTTAGACCCTTCGTCTGCTTCAGTGCACTCCATCGCTGGAATGAATCTCCAAGAATCACCTTAGTTTGGCTTTGCTGCTTTTCCCCTTGTCTTCTTCTTTCAGCAACCTCAAAAACGGACTTTCTTTTGCGGCTAACTGCTCCTGGATTCTTGTCTGCCACTGCAACAAACTTTGTGCGAACTGCGAGGAAGATATATATGGAGTAAGAAAGCTGTCAAAAAAATTTGTGCGCATAAAATAGAAATCCGTGCGTATTTGGGAAATCCGTGCATATTTGGCTGTAGTTGCGCATAAAATTAATATTTGTAAACTCTCAAACGCTTTCATCAGTACGAATACGAATTCACAGACGGAACTTTACTGTCAAAAATACGTCATCACTTCACAGACATTATTCATCGAGCAGAAGAAACATCGATCAAGATCAAGACTGTGCAGCTCAAGTTTGTAGCAGAGGGTAAAAACAGAGTAATAGCACAAGGAGCTACAACAGCGACCAACAAGTGGGTTAATTAAAATCTATTGTAAAAATGTCTTGAATTCGGGAACCGAACGCTGCTGTATAATATTGTGTAGAAACACCTCATTTGAACGGGAAATTGCACCTATATGCATTTCGTGCGCGGACGAGAAGTGAGGAGCAGGGAGAAGAGCGGAGCAGGGAGCAGGGAGAGGAGAGGGGAGCGGTGCACAGAGATTCCGTGCCCGGAGAAGTGAGGAGCAGGGGGAAGAGCGGAACGGGCAGCGGGGAGAGGAGCAGGAAAGGGTGCAGAGAAGAGTGCGCGGAGATTCAGTGCGAATGAACTAGCTACAACACGCAGCAGCAAGCGGACTCTTTCTTTGCTTTGAAAATTACGTTTTCAGACATAGGATATCGCTTTCCTGAAAAACGTTTGTCTAGCTCTTGGAAATAAAGTACGTTTTCATAATAAGCAGAAGTGACCTGTCCAGGAGTAATTTGGCGACCAATGCGTCAGTCTTTAGACCCTTCGTCTGCTTCAGTTGCGCCATCGCTGGAATGAATCTTCAAGAATCACCTTAGTTTGGCTTCGCTGCTTTTCCCCTTGTCTTCTTCTTTCAGCAATCTCAAAAACGGACTTTCTTTTGCGGCTAACTGCTCCTGGATTCTTGTCGCCATTGCAACAAACTTTGTGCTAACTGCGAGGAAGATATAGGTCAAAAAAAGCCGCTAAGAACTGTTGCGTTGGTGGAGTAAACAGCGTCTGTGCGGCTTGCGTCTGTGGACTGCGTGACGTGACAGACGTACGTAAACCACGTAATGGCAGCGCGCAGGCAAGTCAGTTACGCTAGAAATGTAGGGAGTTTGATTGACAGCCTGTCAGCTAACAGATAACGAGGCAGTTATCTATTGGCAAATGTTTAGCCCCACCACGTCCAGAGTTGATGAATTTTTATTCTCTTTTTTTTGGTCATCATAATTACAAGGCTACTGCACCTCTATAATGCTATCATTGACAATTTGAAACAAAAAAAATCCTCCATACAACCTTTAATGTGATTGGAGATTGGAACAAAATTTTATATGGGAGAAAATCATTTGTTCCCAAATAGTTGTTCAAAAATTTCTGAAATTTTGCACAAAATTCCATTTTGGCATCCTGAACAATGACACCCATGTCATATTTTTTATGGCGTTGCCAAAGTGATGACATGAACTCTCCATGTTATTCCATTGGGAAAATTGACAAATCGCATGAACTTAGGCCGATTTCACTCAAATTTTCATCGTGGGTTCACACCTCGATCCTGAACAGATTGATGTAAGAAAATACAAAAATGGGTGCAATAGCGCCCCCTAGATAATTTAAATAGAACAATAACATTTTATTTGTCATAGATACATTAAATTTGGTACCAACATTTATGACATGGTCTCGATTAAAAAAACTCAACGACACCAAAACCCCATTTACATTGTGTTGCTATGGCAACAAGCCAAAATTCTATCCTTGCCAATGGGACGTCCTTACACAAACTTTGGCCAGACCAAATTTTGTAGCCAGATGTATAATGGCAATAGGAACAAAAATGTATATTGGGACCACGCTCCTTTACAAAAAGTCCGTTATTTTTTTTATTTTTTTTTTTTCAAAATTTTGAAAATTGCATGGTTAGATTAAGACTTATAGGGCTAGGGTTGGGGCTATGGTTAGGATTACGATTAGGGTTATTAGGGTCAGTGTGAGGCGCAGCGTTTTGAGGGGCACAACATTTGCAAGGCGCCTGTTTGCGGCATTTGCGGGATGCGGCGTATGGAGGGCTGATCATTGCCGCTTGTGGCTATATTTATTATTATTATGTGTTGAGAATTGGAAATTCAGTATATTATGAAATAGGAATTAGACAAGATGCTACGAAAAAACGATCTCTGTTTAATGCTGGGGGAGTTGCATTGTTTCAATGAGAACCAACTGGGCAGCCTTTAAAGTGAAAAAAAAGTAAATTACATTTATATGTACACTGCAGTTAACTACAGTTATATAAGACATTGCTGTTAAAAATAACAATGACAGACGGTTTGTCAACAATTCTAAACTTCCAAACTGAAATCTTCAGGTCTTCCTCTGAGATTTTCCGACTGGGTCTGCGAGTAAAACTAGGCCCCATGCGGCTATACCTGCAAAAGCGAACAGTGGTGAGGCATAGGTCTTCTTTTATACAGTCTATATGGTCTTAACATTTGGGCATTGTCACTGCTCACGGACTTACTTGCGGCAAAGGTGATCTGTGCAACCGTTCCCATGGACGTAGGCCCGCCTCTCCGCATCACTTTGCGGGCTTCGCTGAACACATAGCCCCCCGACAGAAGGAGTGCGCCTCCGGAGAGCAGACGACAGCTCCAGCACCCGCCGAACAGCTGCGTGGGCCTCGGGGCCGGGTCGGACATAGTGCGCTAGTCGCCAGGGCAACACAAAAAGGGTTAGCAATGGTGAGCTAGCGGGTACTGCTCTACTGCTACTGTCAGCCACTTATGTTTGTGTGGGCAGTCGTGCATTACCGCCCTCTGCTGCTTCGGAGGGAGCCACGACTATGATCACATAACAGATCACGTCAAAAGTTGACATTCCTCTCCTCGAGTCTCCATTTGTCAGCTGTCAAACAAATGTGACACAAAAGTGGTGTCCCAAAGAAAGCCACGAAAAGAAGGAGTAAACAGGGAGGCCTCAGGAGGCAGACATCAGAAAAAATAATCAAACTTTATTGATCTCAATGAGGAGTTGATATCCTTCCTTAACCATTTCCGGCAGAATCGAGGAGAGGAATCAAGAAGGAAGCGAGGAAAGAAAAATGAGACGCAGTCATTATCACATGCAACCATCTCCAAAAGAAATCAAACCAGACAAAGCTACAGGTTTGCCCACTCACAGAATGCCTGTTTTTCTAGGTACTGTATTTCTGAGCTATAAAACCACCTGTAATTGAATAAATGTAAGGTAGGTAAGTCATACTGTGGAACAATACAGGCATATCCATATGTTGTAGCCGTGGTAATAAAAGTCCGGAGCCAGGGATGCAGTTTAGGTGATTTATTTAATATAAATGGACAAGCTCGAGAAAGGAAAGTGACCGGGAAAAAACACAAACAACTACAGGACAGCAGGAACAATAGCTAACTGTAAAAAACAAAAAAACCCAAATTACAAAAAACTGACAAACTCGATAAACTTTAATGATTTAAAAACAATTTAAAATCTGTCTACCTGTGTCGTACTCCACACACAGCTCCCCGTAGCACCGTTCAAGTTTCTTTTAAAAACAGCGTGGCCGCCCTAACACGCAACAATTCATTTTTAAAATACAGTTTCATTCACACTCACACACAAACCATTTAAAAACCCACCAGTATCTTCGGTCAAACGCATGCACACATGGTTCCAGCGGTCTACCTGGCCACCCACGGAAACTGACACCTCCCGGGCACACAGCCAACTTCCCCTTAAATTCTGCCTGTTTGTGGCCCAGCAATGACACCCCGTGGTACCACTCGCTACATCCCTCCCCAACAATGAGCATAGTCGACCCGACGATGTACAGAAGGAGGGAACACTCAAATTTAACTAAACCGCTGGTTTAGACCCGCGCACAGGTTGTGGCAGCCTATATGGGTTGGAATGCTGTCCAGACGTCTTTCTTGTTGTTCTCTGAGGCCCAGAAACTAAGGAGGTGCCAGTTTCCTTAGGACAGTCTGGAAGACACTCAACACCAGAAGCCACTTCATCTTTCAACGATAAAACACAGTGTCATCATTGTTCCCCTCAATTACTGACTCGCTGTCAGACACATCGCCTGTCCTGTCTGTCTCATTTATGTTATTTGGTAAATCCTCTGCATGGAGACCAGTCGAATTATTAAACTCTAGACTCTCAGGAACACTCCTCAGCTCAGTCCTATGCAGCTGGCGTACTGGGCCCTCCTGACCAACCAGGGCTACAGAGTATACCACACCTCTTGGAGGTGGGGGGTGGACTACCTGGTACGGCATAGGGTCCAAAAGTCCTGAATTTTATTCCTCCCTCTGACTGAATGGTTCCTTGTATACACCAGATCACCCTCCTCAAATTCAGCCGCCATCGACTCTCCCTGCTCTCTCTGCTCCCTCTGGGCCCTTTTACTGTCCAGTCTCCTCTGTACAGTCTCGTAAGCTGCTGTTAAAGATTTCTGGTGCTCCTCTACCCACTCTTCCAACGGAATGTCTACCTCTGGCTCCCTTTCTACCAAAAAATCCACCGGTAACCTCGGCTCCCTTCCAAACATTAAAAAGTAAGAGGTCTTGCCAGTGGACTGGTGCACAGTAGTGTTATATGCATAAGTTACCTGAGATAAATGCCGGGGCCACCTGCGCTTCTGTTCAGGGGGAAGGACTTGCAACAGATCATATAAGGTGCGATTGAACCACTCACATTGACCATTACCTTGGGGGTGGTAAGGAGTAGTGCGGCTTTTTTCAATGTTATAAATTCTACAAAGCTGTTGAACAAGGCTACTTTCAAAATTTCTCCCCTGATCTGAGTGGATACGACTGGGGGGACCAAACAGCTGAAACCAGTATTTCACTAAGACCTCTGTAACTGTACTTGCCCGCTGGTCTTTAGTAGCCACTGTCTGGGTATATTTTGAAAAAACGTCTGTCATAACCAAAACATTTTCCTTCCCATCTGTCAATGGTTCCAACACAGTGAAATCTATGGCCAAGATCTCATGAGGCCGGGATGCTTTGACTGAGCCCATATAGGTCTTTACTTTGCGCTGTAGGGCTTTGGACAGCACACACCTCTCACAGTTTTTACACCACCTTTCTACATCCAAGTACAAATTTGGCCAATAGTACCTAGAGTGAACCAGCTGTAGAGTGCGTTCTACCCCTTGGTGGCCATGTTCATCATGGAGAGCGCGGAGGACACATTGCTGTAAACACTGAGGTAACACCAGTTGCTGAACCTCCCCCTCCCCACCAGGTTTTTGGACCCAACGGTACAGCACTGACTCCCTCTTTCTGATACGGCCCCACTGACAAACCAACTCTCTCGTGCCCTTATTAAGCATCTCTCTGTCTTTGGCATTTGGCATTCTGCCCTCTACCCAAAATTTCAGAAAATTGCCAATAGTGGGGTCCTGAGACTGCAGCACAGAGAGGTCTGACAAATCTAAGCTGGGCAGTACACTCATTTCTGCCTGTACACCACACACGTCGTCCCCCTCCTCAGGTGGCAAGTGGAGGCGGGACAGTGCATCCGCATTTGCATTTTGTGAACCTGGGCGGAACTTAATAGTCAGGTCAAATGAGGCCAACTCAGAGGCCCATCTCTGCTCTGCGGCACCTAGTTTCGCTGTTCCCAAATGGCTCAGAGGGTTGTTATCTGTAAATACTGTACATCTATTTCCAAGCAAGTACTCTCTAAACTGCTCAGTAACAGCCCATTTCAGCGCAACCAGCTCAAGCTTCATAGAGCTATAGTTTTTCATATTCCGCTCTGTTGGTTTTAAGCTCCTACTTGCAAATGCAATGGGTCTCAACTTACCCCCGTGCTCTTGGGATAAGACTGCGCCCAAACCCCCATGGCTCGCATCTACCTCCAAGACAAATGGCCTCTGGAAATCTGCATAGGCAAGAACAGAAGTGGTTATCAAGGCATTTTTCAATTTGGCAAAACTTTCCTCACATTCACTGTCCCAAAATCCAGTTACTGGTTTCCTTGGAGTTTTACCTTTCCTACCTGGGGGAAGAAGGTTTGCAACCAACCTATTCAGCGGCCCAGCCATATTTGAAAACCCTGCAATAAATCTTCCGTAGTAAGAAGCAAACCCCAAAAATGATCTCAACTCAGCCAGATTCTGGGGTTGCTTCCACTCCCGCACTACAGCCACTTTATCAGCATCTGTGGAAACACCATCAACAGAGACTACATGGCCCAGGTACTTTACACGTTTCTGAAAAAAATTACATTTAGAGAGCTTTACCTTCAACCCCTGCCTGTCTAACCGGGAAAAGACTTGTTCTAACTGTTCAAGGTGCTGCTGTACAGTGGAGGAAAAAACTATCACATCATCTAAGTACAAAAGTACTGACTGGTGGTGACAGTCCCCAAAAATACGCTCCATGAGCCGCTGAAAAGTACTTAGCACATTGCACAGACCAAACGGCATGCGATTAAATTCAAACAGACCAAAAGGGGTACAAAACGCTGTCTTTGCCTTGTCCCTTTCAGCCATCTCCACTTGGCTGTAGCCGCTAGCCAAATCTAATGTGGAGAACCACTGGGCTCCAGCCAAAGCATCCAGCGACTCCTCTATTCTTGGAAGAGGAAATGCATCTTTTCTGGTCTTCGCATTTAACAGCCTGTAGTCCACGCACATGCGCAATGAACCATCTTTTTTAAGCACCAGAACTATTTGGGAGGAATACAGACTGCTGCTCTCCCAAATTATTTGACTTTGCAGCAACTGTTGGATGTGATTACTGGCCAATTCATATTGAGGGGGGAATCCGCCTATATGGCTGATGCACCGGAGTCTCATCTAGCAAGGGTATTTCATGTTTAATAAGATCTGTGCTTCCCACATCTAGATCATTTTGTGCAAAAACTCTGCTATACTTTGCCAAAAGAGCCTTAGCTTTTTAGTCTATCTCCCAAAGCTAGATTTTCAAACTCGGGTAAATTAATCTCACTTTCCCCTGTCACCTCCTGAGTAGCAATAAATGCTGTACAACTTTGTGAATTTACAAAAACCTGAATCTGCGCCTGCTCCCCAGTTATAACTTCAGCCTTTTGAACAGTGGCAATCACCCTACGTGGGGTTAACCAGACATCTGTCATACCCACATTAGTGACAGGCACAAAGGTCCGGCCCTGCTCTGCCTTGACTAAAGAGGGTGATATCAATAACCCTTCAGGCAGACCAGTGTGCTCAGGCTCAAGAGGTTCCACCATGAGCTCTATGGACTGATGTAAGGGCACCTGCGGGCAAGTAACAGGAACATACTTCAAACTGCCAGCTGGAATACAAAGGCCTCTTACCCTGTACTCTAACTGGATGAGGGTCTGGGGAGCTGGCCATTGCCTCCATCACCTGGCAATACCTCAGGACTCTCCTCAGTCCAGGTGGTGCAGACCGGATGACTGCTGCCTCCCAGAGGTCAGGGCCATATTGCCTCAGTAGTTCAGAATATAGAGGGTTAAACACATTCATACCAAGCTCCCCAGGTACAGCTGTTTTTTTCTGTCGCATGTAACTATCACAAGGGTCTTTCACAATCAACACACCCCGGCGAGGAAGAGACACTTCCAAAACATGCATGTGTAGTTCAACGTAACCGAGGTATGGGATTTGTAAACCGTTCGCAGCTTTTAGCCCCAGCCAACCACAATCCCTAAGACCCTTGTCAGACAAATGAAAAAAAGTTGTTATTGAAGTAGTTTTCTGTAATCGTGGTGACCATGGACCCACTGTCTAATAGACAACGAACACTGACCCCAGTAAAGTCTACCTCAGCCTCAAAACACTCCCTCACAAGTTTGGGAAAATCCGAATTAGCATTAATATTGGAGCCAATTTGTCTCCCCACCAATGGGTGGCTCTGCACACTGGCGGGCTCTAGTTTCCCACCGGTGGGAACTGTGTTTGATTACTGTCTTTAGGTTCATTCTGAATGTTGTTTGGATAATTACGTGCAATGTGGCCGCTCTGCTCACACCTAAAACAAATAGGCTTCCCATCAGCACTTCGTCGGGGCCTACTGAACCACCCTCTGTCTGGAGGCAAACTTTGCGGTGCCAGTGCTATAACAACCAAATCCAGCTGAGTTTGCTGTGCTTTCAAAAGAGACATCAATTCACTATATTGAGACGACCCAGTAACACCTTCACAAGACACCACAGTTTCATTGGAGACAAGGCTATATTCGTTACTTCTAGGTTTAGACAGCACCCCATACTGAGCCATTCACTTAGTGGCCTGAGCTCTGGCCTCACGGATAGTCCAGTTAGGGTTTAGACCAACTAAGTCTCTCAGTCTTATTTTTAAGGCTTGATCTCTGATCCCGTCAATAAATTGATCACGCAAGTCTTTAGAAGCAGCCGTAGAGGTAGCTTGAGCATCAGTTTTAACAATCAAGTCCATCAAGTCCATCAGTGAATGAGAGTAATCAAGGGCTGTGTCCCAATTCAAAGGGCTGCAGCCTCCGAAGGCTGCGAAGGCTGGGTCCTTCGTCGGCCGCGAAGGCTGCAGCCCTTGAACTGGCCTCCGCGGACGCCAGGCCGTTGCGGAAATGGGACAGGTCTAGACCTCAGAGCCACTCCCCTGTCGCCTAGCAACCGAGGGACGCTGCTAGCGCTAATGCTAACACGCTCCGCGCAGATTACGCACACGGATCAGTAAAAAGAATACGCACAGGTCATCAAACTGTCGGATTTTGTGACGAAATTATTTTAATAATTCGCATCCAAATCTTATGGCCAAAACCGAAAATGTATGTTTAACTTGTGCAAAACAAAACGGCTATATTTAAGGGATACATTTTAAATAGACTAAATTATCTTAAAATTAAAAAAAACTGATGAGAGATGCATTACTAAATATTATCATTATGAAGGATTTTTATATTGACCAGGGATTACATTTATACAGTCAGTTTGTAAAGAAAGAAAGACATCTCTCCTGAGAAAAGATGATTTATTAAACAATCCAAGGAACTTCTGGAAATACTTTATCATAATATGAAGTCAAATATTAAACCCATTACACACACTCTGCATTAACAAGTTAGTACAAACAGCTGTATGTCAGTAAATCTCATTGTCACTTGCTTCAGCAAAAAGGGAACACAATCAAAAATGAACAAATTATCTTTGCCAGATATGATCATGTGGAATACCACAGCTTATCTGCAGTACAATAGTACATTCTTATAGTACATGTAATTAGTTATTATCAAAAGAGACACCAAATAAATGGCACATTTCACCATAAATCAAATGTCAGTACAGACTGAAAAACATTCAGAAACACTTATGAGCAGATGTTTTCATTTCTGTCTCACACACTTGTTCAGATCATATGAGACTCTGGACCTCCTCCTCAGAGACTCTGGACATGGACAGTGGAGACATGGACAGTGGAGACATGGACAGTGGAGACATGGACAGTGGAGACATGGACAGTGGAGACATGGACAGTGGACTTGGACCACTCAGTCTGATGTATCTCTCGTCTTCTGGAGGAGGAAGAGCAGAATGGTTGTTGCGTCTGATTGATTCAAAGTTCTGTCCTGTAGAGTGAAAACCTGTAATGACAAACACATTAAGAAAACTACAAAACTATTAGAGGAAAATAACTTTGACAGAGCATGCAGGCCCAAAGAACACCTGGACTCCCTCCGCACTATTTACATTTATTATTATTTATCTATACTGGAAGCTGCAGATGAGAAAAGAAAATTCGTAATGTAAAACAGATTTCTCATTGTTATAACATTAGACGTGACAGACCTAACAGACACAGCCAGGTCGTATCTACACCAGTGTCTGCACAAATCTGTTAAACGAGCCTCATGTCCCTCATAAATCTGACCTGTCCAGGCAGGATTATTTACTCTTCACTTTACAAACATGCTCGGATTGTTAAAAGCAGATAATGTATTCCCTGAATGAAATGCACACGTTGGAGGCTTATATTATGTGATTTACAAGTAAATATGAGCTTTGATAGTCAGACTGAGTCTTTTTTCAGCTGAATGTATGAAATAATGTGTGTTTTCATCTTAACTCCGAGCTACACTGACCAACTGTTTACATGTTTACACTGTCCGTGAAAACGTGGAGTTTCCTCCTCGTAGCTTCTTTAAATCACTCTGTGGGCTTCTTTTCCCCTAACAGTAAAAACATGATGAGTGTTTGATGGAAATGTGTCCAAATATGAAAGTTTGAGCGGACTTTTCATCGCATTAGCTGCACAAAACTTTAGCTCTAAACTCCGCGGTTCACGCAGTTAAAAACAAACTTATTTGACAGTTTTGTGGGAGTTATGGTCGTATTTTACGTTTACAGTTGTGTTAGTAATGATTTCCTAAAGTTAAAAGTGTTACGTGTTTTTCTCCGCTCTCGGGACCGGCTTTTTGCTCCGTGTTTTCGAACATGTGACTGCCGCCGCGCGGTGCATGCTGGGATACTGAAGGCTGCGAAGGATACTCGGATGTGTCCTCCGTTCGCGGCCCCATCTCCATGGAAACGAGGCCGGTTTTAGGGCTGCATTTGAAGGCTGCACATGGATCTATTAAAATAATAGGCTGCATGACATAAAAATGAAATGGGACAGGCCTTCTTTCACCGGAAGTGACGTATGCGGCCTTAAAACCAGCCTTCGGAGGCTGCAGCCCTCGAATTGGGACACAGCCATTGTGTTCTGATCGATACTGTTCAGCCAATACTAACCAAAATGTCTGTTTCTGGTATTTGTTATAATACTACAGCCTATATATATAATACATATATTATTCATAATATATATTTATAATTTTGCCCTTGGTGCCCCTCCCAAAAAGTATACCATCAGCCGCGACTGGTCCTGGTGTAGTCCTGGTTTAGTCCTGGTTTAGTCCCGGTCCCTCAAGTCTCAGGTCACTATAGAACAGGACTGGACGGCGTTACCCTCGCGCACCACGTTCACTACAGCCCTGGTGCTGTCGGATGCGTGGCTATTTCTAGTTCAGAGGTGTTTTTGACGAGAAGTTGTTGTTTAATGTTTACAACCAGTGGCCTTATTGTTTTTTAATAAACCTCAACCTTTTATTATTGTCTTGTGTGCGTATCCTCTACCACACAGCCTCAACAACTATTGCAGCTAATAATAATAATCTTAATATAATGATGATAATTATAACAACAACACATAATTAGCCTAATACTGTTAAAGAAAAACGTGTTTGATAGCATGTCTGCTGTGTATGACTCCACCGCGTTAAAATATTTCTCAAATGGCAGTGCCCCCCCTGCTGGTGACCCATGCCCCTCCAGGAGATGTGCTCTGACGCCGACTCTGCGGCTCACTTTGCCTTAGCTGCCGTGAGTCTCGATGGGCTGCTTCCATGTTGGGAGCGATCTTCAGGGCTCTGGCAAATGTTAGTCCATTCGTGAAGAGCAACTTGCGTTGACACGATTCATCATGAATTACTCTGACAAAACCGTCGCGCAGAGCCTCGTCCGGCCTATCTCCGAAATCACATCTTGCAGCAAGCTGTTTCAGCTCAGCAGCAAATTTGGCAACTGTTGCACCGTTTTCGTTTGTTCGGCAATGACCAGTGACTTGGGCACATAGTACTCTTTCAGAATATCCACGATCACATCAAAAGTCTTGTCCTTAGGTTTTTCAGGTTGAGCCAAGTTCCGTAACAAACCGTATGTAGAAGTACCAACAGCACTTACCAGAGTAGCCACCTGTTTATAGTGATGGGTCGTTTGAAGCCGAGGTTTGTACCGAATAAAAGAGGGCGTGTCGAGTGAAGCCCCGATTCGAGGCTTGCGTCAGATTGCCAAAAAACACGTGACCGGCATAAAGGCTTTCGTGAGATGACGTCATTGGTTAATTTACTGTGTAACGTGCACACGCACACTTCATAGCTACTGCTTTTTTTAAATTCACTTTAACTTTATTCTAACTTTCACATGCTAAAAGAATCTTTCTTTCTTTATTTTTTTTTTTTTAATTTATAGAGCATTTTGGTTTTACTGCCAGAATATGGCCGTGTAACCTACGTATATTGTTGTATTAGTTGTTTTTTTTTTCACTGAATATGACGTACAGTCAGTTAAACATTCTTTGCCTTAAAATTATATTTGTGTTATTTAAGCAAATTTCATGGATCATGCCACTGCTGAAGTGGTTCAGAGAGTGGATCAGAAGAAGCAAGATCGGCACTGGGACAGTTTATAGTCGTGTTGATTGTCTGTCTCTCTCTGAGGTGTTTGTGTGTTTGATGTGGATAGTGCTTAAAATAAATACTTGATGCAGAAGAAGATTAGAGAATTGAGGATCTTTTCTATTTGATAAATGCAACCATTGAGTGTGATGTTTAAATGAAACAAGATTCCATTTGGTTTCTCTTTTTACATGTGTTACATTTTTTTGTCCACAAGATGGTGTAGTTGGACATATTACATCACTTGCCGGTACAGGTACCTGTACCTGTACAATTGCCTGAAAGCCTCAGATGGTTCATGGGGCTTCATTTGGCCATCAATACCTGTTTATCTTTCTCGATATCATGTGCTTCAAAAAAAAGTTACCCACATTACAGGCATGCGCAATTCACTCCAACTACAACTACGGTGGCCCTGTAAGTTCAATATACCACAGCCATGTTAAGGACCCATGACTGCACCACGTGAGAGTCTTTAAACGTTCATTGCGCCATAGCCTGCACCACCGAAGAGTGCTACTTTATACAGTTTATGCTGTATACATGATGCAGGCGTTGGTCGAATCGTTATTCCTTGGTTTTTGGGGTAAGACAAGTCTCGTCATTGTTGCCTTGTCCAGTTGGACCTGTGGCTCACATGCGCACGGCCTTCCCTCGTACGTAGCTGCAGTGTACGAGCACCGTGTAACGCTGAACCCGGAGCCGCGCGTGCCTCTCTCCCGCAGCGCAGCATTGCGTCACCTGCGCCAGAACCTCCAGGTGTACTCGAAGCAGGCCTCCAGGGCGGCTCTTCAGGTTTTCATTTTCTAAAGAAACTATGCTTGCGTTTACTAGACTAGCTGCCATGGATCTATTGTTATAACAACCCTGCCTAACCTATTAAGGCTATACGTGAATAATCTAATTTGGCCTAACAGTGCAGGTAATAGATTACAACCTGTACAGTGATTTTATGTTCTGCGATAACTACACTGATATATCTTATGTCAGAAATCTGTTATGATCATGGACCTTTTTTAATTATTTTTTTCATTAGTAACTGTTCTTACTAGAACATTATGAAATTTAGATCTGTAGCCAGTAGAGATTTCACCTGGTGTCTTTGTACCAATTTGCACCTCCTGAATGCTGTCCAGTAGGCCTAATCATTTCACATTATTGTATAACATCATCTTGAAAAGTTTCAAAATGGCCTTGATCTATAATTGACGTGAATAACTGATAAAATGCATTTTCTGTAATGCCTTGTGTTGTCTAAAAGTGTGTAAAAAATAGTCTCAAACCTTTTCCTTAAATGTAAAGTTTGAAGTATCCTGCAAACATTGTACATGAGGGTAATGTCACATGGGCATGTGTGTGTGCAGGGTGCTCAGATTCTGGTGTTCCCAGAGGACGGCCTGCAGGGCTTTAACTTCACTCGCTCTTCTATAGCAGCCTATCTAGAGGTGGTCCCTGACCCACAGCAGGAGAGCTGGAACCCTTGTGAGGATCCGCAACGCCACCCAAACACTGAGGTGCTCTGTCCCTCCTGACTCCAAATGTTCCAAACCCTAACTACAGTCATACTTTTTGCACACAAAACTTACAAGCTACTAATCCATCAAAAAACAAAAAAACAAAAAAAAAAAACACTCTTCTACTGCTACATAGGCTATTGCTACTCCAGTTTACCAATTCCATTCTGTTATTTTATTTTATTTATGTGGCTTTGAGTGCACTGTAGGTACTATTTGAATGTGTGTTTATTATTAGAAAATGATCAAATGTGGCCTTTGGGTACACATATTTTATATCTTTTGTGACAGCACTTTCTCCCACAGGTGCAGCAGTGGTTGAGCTGCATTGCCCGGACACATGGTCTGTATGTAGTGGCCAACATGGGCAGTGTGCAGCCCTGCTCCAGGGACTCGGGCAGCCCCTGTCCCCCTGATGGTCGCTGGCACTTCAACACCAACGTGGTCTACAGGTTCATGTCTCTGTGCCTCTCCTAGGTCCATAAACCAGGAACATATCTACTTGTATGAAGAATCCCTTAGTCGTCCAGGTAGAATCCACGGCGAGGAGAAAATTCAATTTGTCGACTGGACAAAAGTTAGTTTGGTTGAAGACGTTTTGCAGCTCATCTCGGATGATCTTGGATGAGCTGCGAAACATCTTCAACCAAACAAACTTTTGTCCAGTCGACAAACTGAATTTTCTCCTCGCCATATCTAGTTGTACTCTGATGATTAATTTTACTTAAACTTCATCAAGAATGTCCAGCTGCACCACTGAGATTATAGCCATTTTAAGGTTATGTACTGTACATAGTAGGTCTAGAATATATTATTTTACTTGTTTCTTTGTACTTCTGGGTGATTTAATTAAACACTTTACATTTCAAGCACATAACTTGACAACATAATGTGCTATAATCATAAAGTTGCAGTCACTCTGAGGAAAAAAGAAGGAAGGGCCTGCAAAACAATGTCCTTTTTATGTCCTAAAGGAGCGATGGGTTACTGGTGGCTCGCTATCACAAACAGAACCTGTACTTTGAGGAGGCCTTTGATACCCCCCAACACATGGAATTAGTCACATTTGACACACCTTTCGCAGGAAAGTTTGGTCTCATTACCTGCTTTGACATTCTGTTCCAGCAGCCAACTGTGTCCATGGTAGAGAAGGTGTGCCCACAACACTACACTAACTGCACTGTATTATCCTTAATACAGTGCTAACTATCTCTCGGTCCTCTGCAGGGTGTGCGCCAGTTTATTTTCCCCACTGCCTGGATGAACCAGCTCCCTCTACTAGACGCTATCCAGTTCCAGCAGGCCTTCAGTCTGGGGGCTAATGTGACACTGTTGGCTGCAAACATTCGCAGTGATGAGCTGATTATGACTGGGAGTGGTATCTACTCCCCCTCCTCTGCCGTGTACCACCATGCTCAGAGAGGTGACCCAGAGGAGGGCCAGCTTGTGGTGGCCACGCTGAGGCCATTGGGGCCTCTGCCTGATGCACCAGCCTTACAGGTAGTGTTACATAAGGAACAGGGATACACTGAAGTGAGAGGGTGCCGCTCTGCGGGCTGCAAAGGCCCGCTTTCTTTCACCTCCTCCATGATGCACGACCCTTTCACCTTCGTACTGCTGAACAGGCCTGGGGGACAGCTTAGTGTCTGCAATGGCTCCTTTTGCTGCTGGCTACAGTATCAGTGCATGGACAGTAACTTCACAGAAGTGTATGCTCTGGGAGCATTTGCTGGAATGCACACGGTTAATGGGCACTACAGTCTACAGGTGGGTCAATGTTTACGATTTTTAAAATGCTATCACACTATGAACAACAACATCAGATCAGAGTGGGAAAGAAAAATATGTTTTCATGTCAAAATAATTACTCTGATTAAGTGTCACCACCTCCTCATCAACAATTACAGCCAGAGACTCATTATAACATGGACTAATGAGTTTCTAATTTTCTACCTCACTGTTTTCAAATTTGTGATTTGTTGATGAAATCACAAAAAAATTTCCAAATGACCACAGATGAAAACTTCTCTACAGTTAATCACTCCTGCATGAATTAAGGATTAGGCCTACTCAGAAAGAAGAAAGAACAAAATAAATGTCATACCATGTGGCAGATTTATACCTAAAAGTAGCATCCAAAATGTTTTTACCATTAGTGACAAAAAATAACGCATGCACTTTGACACAGTGTATCCTACAGGACGGTGTGATGATTTACAAGCCATGGATTTGCCCTGACATTTTAGATCTGCTGAAGGAGAAAAGAGCTTTGAAGTCAGAGAACAAGGAGGAGCTGAGGACTGTGCAGAAGATTCTGATTGATCACAACAGAAAGACTGAGGCAGGAGGCTCTATTCACGCGACATTGGAAACAGGTGGATGATGACTTCCGGTGTAGTTACCAACACTGGGCATGTTATAAAACCATGAATTCAGCTGCCAAAGCTTTCCATGGGGAACATGACTCTAATTGCAACTTGTCAGACTTACTGTCGGCAACAGAGCCCAAAGGAAGTCGTCATCCGCGTGTTTCCAAACGTGTTCCGGTTTTTGTGACATAAGCGTGAATAGAGCCTATTGGGAGTAAATAACAATTTTTTTGGTAATTTTACAAATTTTTCACTAATATGCTACAAACAATATATAAGTAGTACAATTCTTATTATGTAAAAGTGAATTCTCAAAATTATCACCTTTTAGTGAAAAAAGTGGACACACCACTGGGTCTTTAGCAGTGAAGGGGCCACTCTAATGTACCTTTTACCGCTGATGGTGGCATCAGCCATCCTGTATAGTGTGGGTCAAGATATTGTTAGGCATTATGTTTACTGTTTTGCATGTTTTGTGCTTGTACACAGGTTTGTGCTCTGGTAAAATGTGCTGGAGGTGATGCCCGTTCATGTGGACAGGAGGTGTTGGAGGCACAAACGAAAATGGACTTCGTTCTGGAGGGAACCTTTAACACTAAACATGTGTACCCATCTGTCCTGTCCAGTCACTACACTCTGGAGCAGCCTCTCCTCCACACTATGGCGCATGGGACTGTGACCATGGCACATTCTCATATGAGGGCAGGCCTCATCACAGCTGCTCTTTATGGCCGGACATACCATTTGGACCTGCACTGAAAACCAAGCACATTTATCCACACATTAGTATTTCCAAGATAATGTGTATTCTTCTCTACCTCGAAATGACTAGCCAACATTATTTTGCCAATGTTGTTTCCATTACTTTGACGTGCATGCTCCATGCTTTTTGTCTGGTTTCTGGTCACAAAGTGTCACATTCTTTGATACGACTGTCTGTGATATGTCAATATACAATCTAAATAATACTGAACAAACTGAACAAATGAAACAAAAATTGAAGTTGTGTTGCTGATGTGACGTGAATCAGTAACTATATAAAGCGGATGCTTTTCTTATCTTGAGCAAATGGTCAGTACACCTTTCATGATAACAAATTTTGAAGCATGATATACTGAAGAAAATACAGACAATAAACGTTAGTAGTTATTTTGTATCTATTTATTCAGCCCTCTGCAGCTCAAATCAATATAGTCAATCATTATATAGTCTTAATCATAATAGCCCTACTGGTCATTTGGGATCATTTGTTATAGATTGATTCTATCATATACAAAAAAAAAAGTGAAAATGCTCGGTATCTTCATTGTGTGAGGGGCCCACTTCTGCACACCTGGGAGTCTGGGTCACATGTGTAGCCATACTGACAACAGTGGATCCCATCGGTACAGCAGCTGGCCTGGAAAACACATCGGAGAAGCCATTTACAAACAACAGGATCATAGGTTGTTTTCACACATGTGGATCTAACCTTCAGATGGCCCTAAGTGAAATCTGACATGGGGCTGTTCGCCACTTCACAGCCACTTGCATTCAAGTGATCATTCACATGCCACAACTGTCAACATCTACACTAAATATATCTGTAATACATCAGAAAATTTTGAATGTAACAGCCATTTATTGTTTTGTAGTACATTTTGATCTATTCGAAATGACTGAACTGTGATAAAATTTATGGATTCTGACATGGTACAAAGTGCCACACTAAGTTTCTAAGGACGCTCTACAAATGAATACGTTCAACATGACTTTATAAAGTGAAGTAAAGGCATAAATTAAATAAACAATATAAGCTCACCATTTCTTTATAACATTCACATTTACAGGATGTTTTTTTTTAAATTCCAATTTAATTATTCCGAATTAATACATTCGGAATTCAATTATTCTCCTTCGAGTTGACATGGAAATAATTCCGAATTGAGGTTTACATGGAAAACAGGTTAAATCGGCTTTATTTAATTCCATCCAAAATCTGAGGGTGGGGAAGGGTTCTGACTGGACAGGGACATGAACGGATTTATGTCTACTGGAAGAAAACACACTTTAGCTGCTACCAGCTTTTTTATCACCTCGGTTTGTTGTTATGTATGGGGATGCATACCGCTTTTCTCCCGCCCATACAAACTGGAACAATGGTCCGAACCCAGACTCCCGAACCAGCGGGAGCAGCTCCGGTTCAGGTCGGACCCAGATGAGCTGGACCGGAGAGTGGTGTCAAGTGTCCTGGCCTGAGAAGCACTTTCCCCCGGATGAAGCAAGAGCATGAAGGATGGACTGCTCAGAACAAGATATAATGAACCAAACGGGATTCATGCTTCTGTCTGGATGTTTTGCACCTCGGTACCAGTCACAGTCCTCGAGCACGGAAGAAAGGAGCAGCCACAGCGCATTCTCACTTTTGTCACACGGATCCTGTGGTCTTGCTCACCCCCATCTGGAACAAGCACATGGAGGATGGAGCCTATGGACCTATCTGACCAACCCACTCGAAGGACGGCACAAGACCAAGGAGGGGCTAAGCGCAATGTTGAGTGTTCTGTGTCCTTAAGGCTGTTACGCAATCTCAGTGCTTCTGCTCTAGGCTGATGTGCAGTGAGTTGTGTATAGGCTACATGGTGCTGTTTTATGAGGTCATGATGATAACTTGGGATGAGGACGGCTCGAGGTGTTAACGGGGAACCTCGGTACCTTTTGCAATAACGTAGTGTTAAGGGAATCTGACTCGCGCAGACTTAACATGGTGAAAGGAAATGCAGAGCATGTATTTCACAGTTCAACTTTTTATTATCTGACTGCATGTCGTTCTTGAATCATATATTCACTTAACAGAATGCGTGCATACGTCACACATCACCTCAAGGAAGCTGAACTAATCAAACCATTACAAAATAACATTAATAAGAGCATTATATTTACAATTACATTCAACATATAGGCACCGGGAAACAGAGGTATGGGGACACAAACATGATACAAACTATTTTCACCATATTGCAATGCGTCATCGCGTCAGAACACGCATGCGCTGAACGACCGAAATTATTGTTTAAGTGTAATAAATGTTAATATGATTGCAGAATAAACTAAGGCAGCTCGGAATAAGACACTTGATGCATTCGGATTTAAGATTAATTCCGAATTATCATTAGGAATTAAGTGTTTACATGGTCTTTTTAAAGCTGAATTATTTTTTATTCAGAATTAAATTTTTTAAAATCAGAATTAAAGGTCTCATGTAAACAGGGCAATGTGATTGGGACCTATACACTTCTCTGAAAACTTTCATTTAAAGTCTCACTTTATGAACACACTGTGTTCACTAAATGCAGGAAAGCTTAAAATAAAGGCATGGATTAGCATATGGGTCTGGTCAAGCGGTAACGGAGGAAAACAGGCAGATTTTTTACATTCAAATAGCTCTTATTCAGAAACTAGAGAGACTACTGAAATAAGTAAAGTATCAGAATGTAGGAAAGAGTTAACAGTCCAACAGGGTAAAGTTAAACCTGTGATATTCTTTCAAGTTGTTGACAAATAATTTAAAAACTCATGTCAGTAACGGAGGGAATGAAATATGCAGCATTTTTTGGGCAATAAATACAAACAGTGATAACTAGCGGTTCTCACTTACATATCCTTAACAAACTGGTTTGAATATTTGCTTCATATAGTTTTCTAACATAAGGTACAAGATTAGGTTGAAAAACCTCTTACTTTTTGAGTAATGAGATTTTTCATTAAGAAAGGTCATGGTAACGGAGGGAAAATTGTGCAAGCAGGTGCATGATTTTACATAATTTGTCAGCTTTTTTCTTCCAAATACTTTAATATTACTTCAAAATGAAAGGAAACTATTTCTATAAAATATGTCAGTCCTTCCAAGCAATTTTTTTATCATTTTAAATATATATATATTTTTTAAATCATGTACCTTCATCAACAGTTCAAAGATGGAATAACACAAGATATGATGAAATACATCCATTTATTTACATGATTTGCAGATCTTTGAAATTTGGAAAATAATTTTTGTTCCATGTTTCATACATGGTCTGTTTAAAACGTATGGAACTTTAGAACCAAAAATGGTACAGGAAAAAGGTCATACATTTTTATATCAGATGCATTAACCTGAATTTACGCATAGCCTGCATTTGCCTTCATTAGCCTACAAAATTCATTAATTCTGCACGAAAATGCAAGTGCGTTTGCGACTCATTCACAGGTCATTCTCTCACTCAGCAAATGCAAAGCTTCTCTTATTAACAACAATAACCCACTGCAGTCCAGAAGGTCAAAGACAACAGACCCACGTGTGGTAAACTTAGATCATACTGTCCTGCAGTCCTCATGCTGTCCCTGTGCTGTCCCCATGCTGTCCCCATGCTGTTGCTGAGACGTGACTGATCTAGAGGGAGGGAGCATCGAGGGCACTGTACCATATGTACAAACCAATTTAACCAATCATAAAGTGATATTTATGCTGAAGAGCAAAGCAAGACCCCATTTTGTTGTAGCTACAAGATGAGACAGACAAGAGTGATAAAACTATAGAAAGATTTGTTGTACTGGTGTCCCATGGATTTGAGCTACCTAGCGCTACTGTGCAAGCGCACAACTCCGAGGCACTGTTTTAGTTTAAATGCCGTTGATTTGAGCTCCCAAGGCCGAAGTGGAGTAACAAGTAACATTTTAAAAGTTTATTGGTTTTATTGTATGTTTTGACCAGTTAAGCATGTAAGCAACAACATGTGCATGTTAGATTTGGGGGAGAACACTTACACTAGATAGACTGAAGATAGACAGACTGAATAGTTTGGATGTAATATTTGATTTTATAGTTATCATTTCCATTATATCATATTTTATTTTGTTTCCATGTGTAGAAAACTTTGTATAAAAAAATTAAAGCCACAAGGGGCGTCGAACAGCCCTCGGCCAGTGCCCACAAACGGTGCGCTCGCAAACAGCGCACCCGGAAACAACACACCCGCAAGCCCCACATCTGCAAATGGTGCGCCCCGCCAACACCGTGCCCTAAACTCCGTGTCCGCAAACGGGAAAATGACATAGTGCGGATTTAGTGTCCGCAAACAGAAAAATGACATAGTGCGGATTTAAATACTCTTTGTGCCCCCTGCTGGCCAACCATAAAAAATGCCCATGTCAGTAATATATGTTTTTGCTTCTAGTCATTAATAGAATTGAATTACCAAATTTAGTACAAATCTGATAAGGTTGGTGTTTCATGTCTATGGTAGGGGGCGCTATAGTGTTCACTTTTCATATGTTTTATAGTGCACTATATTCAGGCTGAGATCACACATTAGTGATTCAATTTTCAGCACGATCGGACTAAGCCTGTGCAAACGGGAGCAAATAATGTCATCTTGAAACTAATGCATGATCTCAGCCTGAATATAATGCACTATAAAACATATGAAAAGTGAACACTATAGCGCCCCCTAGCATAGACATGAAATGTCAACATTATCCGATTTGTACCAAATTTGGGAATTCAATTCTATTCATGACTAGAAGCAAAAACATATATTACTGGCATGGGCATTTTTCATGGTTGGCCAGCAGGGGGCACAAAGAATATTTAAAGGTGCACTATGTCATTTTTTCATTTGTGGGTGCGGTGTTTGCGTGTGTGGCGTTTGCGGGCGCGGTGTGCACTGGGCCAGGGCCGTTCGACACCGCTTTCGGCTTTAATTTTTTTTCAAAATTTGAAAAATTGCAGGGTTAGATTAAGACTTATAGGGCTAGGGTTGGGCTATGGGTAGGATTATGATTAGGGTAAGGTTTAAGATTAGGGTTATTATGCTCAGTGTGAGGCGCAGCGTTTTGAGGAGCACAGTGTTTGCAGGGCGCCTGTTTGCGGAGTGCGGCGTTTGTGAGGTGAGGCGTAGGCACGTTCGAGGGCCGATCATTACGTCTTGCAACTATATTTAGGCCCGAGCGCCAGAGGCTGGCAAAGGGCCTATTAGTATCGCAAAGCGATGCTCCTAGTGACCAAAAAAAAAAATGGAATGGCGCGACGTGACTCGCCCGTAGTGACCAGGGACCCTCGCCGTGACATAGCAATGCACCAGAGGTTTCCGAAAATGAATAGTTTGTCGGTCAAAAAAAAGCGTATCATTGTTCTTGGATCAGAATATTATTAGGCCCAAGCCCCGACAGGGCGTAGGGCCTATTGCTTCCGCTACGCGGAGCGAATGAGGAGCGACGAGCGCTTCCCCATCAGCCAATTTGCTGATGACACAAGGATTCAGGACAACAGCTTAGATTTTGGGACTGTCCCGGTGACGTCTAGTCACCCTAATCTATTACTTAGATCATTGTAGTTTAATTGACTAATTAATGTATATTTTCTATTCAATCACAATACTACACAGCCCTAAAGTGTCGATTGTGTTACACACACACACATACATACATGCATAGGCAGTGCCTACCAGTGGGTAGGGGCAGCAGCTCCACTGCCCTGTGGGGCCCTTGCAGCAAGAGGAGCCTTTGGAGCAGTAAAAGGACGAATCACAGCGTATGACTCCATGTAGAGCAGGCTTCAGGGCAGTGAGAGTCTGTGAACAGAGGAAATGAGCACCCCACACAGCGACACTATATAATCTTATATATATATATATATAGTTTTTACCATTCAGTTATATTTTTTAGCTCACACAAGGTCATAGTACTTGTCTTCAGCATACCCACAAATTACCAAATCGATTTAACCAGTTAGTTTTACCCAGTTGCAGCATCTCTACTGAGCCACACTGATTTGAGTAAGAAAATAAATGGCCTCAAGTTTAAAATGACCAGATTTTCAAAATTCAAAACTGGGACACACCCAGATTGGGATGGTTGGAATAAAACTGAAAAAGAGCATGCCACATTGTCCTTTCTAGACTCACTTGACCTCTTGAATATCAATCAATCAATCAAACTTTATTTATAAAACGCTTTTCATACACAACTTTAACACAAAGTGCTTTACAGTGATTAAAAACAATCCCACATTTCCATCCGCCCACCCACTGCTCTTAAAAACATGAACATTCTCTGCAACCCTGAGCTCCTCCGGCTGCAGGTCCATAGACGGGGGCCATAATACTGAAAAGATGCCTCTCCGTGAATGTGTGTTCTGACTTTGGGAAGGACCAGGAGCTGCTGCCGAAAGAGCGCAGGGTCCGCGAGGGTTCGTAGGGTAATAGCAGTTCTAAAAGATAAGAAGGTCCAAGACCATTAAGACATTTAAAAACCAGTAAAAGAACTTTACAATTGATCCTGAAACTCACAGGGACCCAATGCAGTGATTTTAAAACCGGTATAATGTGGTCCCGCCCTCTGGTCCTAGTCAGGATACGTGCTGCTGAGATAGTAAATAAGTAATTAAAATATCTCAGCTATTTTATTTTTACTTGTACAAATACACGTTTATAATTACTTATACTTATTTAGAATGTATTATTACAATTTTCATCTTTTTACTTTTTGTTATTATAATAGATTGTGATGTGTGAGCTAGCGTGTCCAAGTAATTTCCCTTGTGGATCCAGAAAGTCTAAGCCTAAGTTTCTAAGTCTAAGGATCAGTCAAGGACTTCTGCTGGTGCACCTAATTGCATTTGTTTTGCCTTTGGTCATTTTCAAGCATAGTTTCTGTAGTTTATTTAAACAAATACAGCCAAGCCCAAAATTATTCATAATCCTGACAAATTTTGACTTTTATTCAACCAGCAAGTTTTTCTTGATTGGAAATGATACAGGCATCACCCAGAAGAAAATAAGACAGTGTACAAGAGGCATCATTGTGGAAAAAAAATATTTCTCAGCTTTTATTTATATCTGAACAAAAAATGGCATGTCCAGAATTATTCATATCCTTCTCAATAATCAATAGAAAAGCCTTTTTTTGGCTATTACAGTAATCCAGTGCTTCCTATAATTGCTGACCAGTTTTTTGCATGTCCACTGATCATCTCCATTGATATTTTTGCCCATTCATCTTTAGCAGTGAGCTCCAATGCTTACAGATTGGAGGGTCTCCTTGCCATCACCCTGATCTTTAGCTCTCTCCACAGATTCTCAATTGGATTCAAGTCAGGACTCTGGCGGGGCCACTGCAAAATGTTAATGTTGTTGTCCAATAACCATTTCTTCAGCACTTTTGCAGTGTGCTTTGGGTCACTGTCATGCTGAAATGTTCACAGGTGCCCAAGTCCAAGCGCCTCTTCAGGCTGCTTGATGTTGTTGTTGAGAATCTTGATCTTGATCTTTGATCACTTTGTTCATGGTGCCGTTTACTGTGATTAGACTCCATGGCCCATTGGCTGAAAAAACATCTCCAAAGCATTAGGTTCCCACCATCATGTTTGACAGTGGGGATGATGTTCTTAGGGTTGAAGGCTTCTCCTTTTTTACACCAAATCATCAATACATCACTGTGGCCAAACAATTAAATTTTTGTTTTGTCTGACCATAAAACAAAAGACCAAAATCTTCTTCTTTGTCCAGATGAGCATTTGCAAAGGCTAAATGGGCTTTTGTGTGCCTTACCTGGAGAAGTGGCGTCCTCTTTGGTCTACATCCGTGGAACCCAGCAGTATGTAGTGTCTGTTGGATTGTCTGTCTTGAGATGTTCCACCAGCAAAGCCCAGATTCACCTGGATGGCTCTGGTGGTGATCTGTGGATTCTTTTTCACCTCTCCCACTATCCTCGTGACCAGCACAGGTGTCACTTTTGGCTTCCGACCACATCCTCTGAGATTTTCCACATTGGGGAACGTCTTGTATTTTTTAATAATACTTTGTACTATCGCCACTGGAACTTGAAAACATTTAGATATGACCTCATAGCCCTTTCCTGACTTGTGAGCAGCCACAATATGCAGTCGCAGATCCTCAGAGAGCTCTTTTATCTTAGCCATGACTGTTCACAAACCAACTGCAAAAACCTACTGTTTTTCACCTGTTCAGCTGCTTAAAACAGCTCTTCCAAATGAATCAGGGGAATTAGGAAGATTTAGAACAGCTTGTGCTGTTTGGAATGGTATAGAACTTTGGATTTTTCCATAGACTCTGACAGTTTACAAAGAGTATGAATAATTTTGGACAGGCCACTTTTCATTCAAATGTAAAAAGCTGAGAAATATTTTTTTCCACAATGATGCTTCTTGTACATTGTCTTATTATCTTCTGGGAGATGCCTGTGTTATTTCCAACCAACAAAACAACTTGCTGGTTGAATAAAAGTAACTTTAAGTCAAAATTTGTCAGGGGTATAAATAATTTTGAGCTTGACTATATGCCCCTTGTTACTGCTGGAAGGGTAAAATAGGTCAAATAGGGACAGCTGGGGCATTTCTTATATAAAACTAGGACATCAATGGTTTTTGGATAAATCTGCTGAACATTGGACACAGGACTCAAAACTAGGACTGGACCCAATTTTTACCCACACTGCCCCAATTCATAACCACAAACTGTCGTAATGTGACAATGAAGACATTTTGAGCGGATATGCTTCGTAAACCAAAACTAGCACATACACTCCAGCAGTTTCCTCTCACTAATCTCAATATCAATATCAATACGGCAAGATCGAAAATATGATATGATAAATAATATAATATCATATCATATTATATTATAACTATACTTTTAAAAATGACAAAAAAATTAAATGGTGTCTTGATAACTAATGTACAGCTGCTGTACATAATAGCTGGCTAAATCACTCATGTCAATGTAATCAACACACACCCAAAAAAATCAATGGCTTAAGTTAAGTTTGTGATTATATTTTTCTACACATCCAAATTTCTAAGCAGTAAGAGTAACAGCTGTCACCTCATAGGGCTTAACAAAATTGTGGATTTCACCACCAGGAAGTTAGAAATCAAATCAGTGGAACAGTCATTGGTCAACACCTTAACAACATCCTTCTCCTTCTGGGACTGATGTGCAACCATTTGCAGATAGAGTTTAAGTCTATAATGTTCACTCAAGACAGAGGGATGAGGGGCTCATCCAGGATAAGGCAAGGGTATGGGGTCCAGCCAGCTGAGGGAAGGGGAGGATGTGGGTTGTTTCCCTTCAAACTACTCTCTCTTGCATAATTAATAGACTAATCAGCAGCACTAATCAACATCAGTGTAAAAATACATTTGTTGCTTGATTTGAGCTTGATTTGTTGTTAGCCTGCCAACACCTACCTTGTCTGCAGGTAATGGCAACAGGTTGGGGGAGCCAAAGGGGTAGGGCACGCCCTGTCTGATGCAATGGGTGTAGGTGTAGTCACAGTCATAACCATATGGACAGCAATGGTACCCATCCAGACAGCAGCGGGCCTATGGAGCACATAACAACTCAAGTGTGTAGGCTTGTTGCTAGAAGCCAGTTTTAAACTCCACACTCACTGGACCAAGGTAACATCTTGTTTACAGCATGGATCCATGGTTTAGAGTTAGAAAAAAAACAACCTGGACCAATCAGCTGTGAGCACAGTGATACACCTTGATGCAAACTTTGGGTCAGGACCTTGGTTACTTTGGCATTAATAATCCTAGTAAAACATTTTGCATGAATGAGTTTGAAGCCATTAGTTTCCCAAAGGCTGTGAGAACAAGAGTTGTCAAATGTATTGAAAATGAGATACTAATCGATACTAAAACTAGCATCAAAAGTAGATACTCATTTCAGCCTGCATCAAAAAAGTCAGATAGGACAGAAAACCTTCCCTGAATAGCTCTAGAATGATCTTGAGCTGTATCAGAACAAGTATAAGACAACATAGTCGAGTATATGCCCTTGGAACACTATGTAATTTACCTGAACAACTGGGATTACACATGCCATTACAATGCCACATGGTAATATAAAAGAAATCCCTATAATTTAATGTTGAAAAACACATTCTATTGCCTAAAAAGAGTGATTTGGTCAGTCGAGTCTGTTAGTATTGTGACAATGTTAATGTGAACAACATCTAATTTTTTTTTGCTGCTGTGATCACCTCCATCTGTTCCCCAGAGCTCTTCCCCTTCCCGCTCACCTGGCACCTTTTGGCTGCCAGTCTCTGCCTTATCTGTGCTGCAGCAGCTGTAGCCACCAGTGGCTCAGGGTTTCACTGTTGAATCTTCTTATTGGTTTGGTTTTATGAACATGTTAATGCTGTTTGACTCAAATACATGTATGAGGAGCATAATGCAGCTAAGGGGTCTCATTTATATAGAATTCTTGTACACGTACAAACGGGGAAAAAAAATCATAAAACCTGCTTATTGTTGTCTCTGATCACAAGTTGCATTCTGCTGAACAGCTTTTTTTTTCTTGCTTCATTTTTATGGATCACAAACACATGGCAAATCACCTACGCAACATTTTCATATATGCGCCTTACGATACCAGGAGTGGCGATAGGATGGTCGATCTCTCCAAAACTGCACTTGTTTTACCTTAAGAAAACAATCTTAAAATATCGAAACTACCTCCCACATACACTATACACACCACAGGTATTTGGTTCTGCATTTACCCTATCAGTATTATCTTGTTTTATACATTCAAGTCAGGTTTTTGAACATAGTCGTAGGGATTCATCTATGTATCTACTCACTGGGGAGTACGGGCAGCAAGTCCATCCACCATGTGGATGTCTGCAACAGGTGTAGCCGTTGGGGCATGTGTAGTAGATATCGCAGTACACCACGGTAGGTACCCCATCTGTGGGCTCCAGCCCAGTGCGCAGCATTGGCCTGCTCTCCCAACGCCTCTCACACATCTGAGTCATCAGGTTACACTGGTACCCTGAGGGGCAGCAATGGGCCAGGTCAGCACAGCATACCCCCTGCTCACAACACACACATCACAAAAACGAGGAAGGGCTGTAAATTAAAACTCACATAAGAGGAACTTTCTTGACAAGTGAAAATGTTTATTCTTGGATAAAGTTTATATTATATATGAATATCTTTTTTTAATGTTTCTGCATTTTTTTCTAATTATTACTTGATTTGGTGGGATAATACATGTAGTATCAGTTTGATATAATTCAAGGGCCTTGATACTGGATACTTTTCTTCCCAGGTATTTGAGCAAAATTTTGCTAAAGGAGAGGGTACTCTGAGTGAAAGATGTTAATCTGTTGTTTTCGGTCCATATAGCATCAAAACAACAAAAAGGTAACAGTGATTTAAACAGGTGATGTGATTAGCAGTTAATGTCCCATAGAAGTAAAATATATTCCTCTTCAAAACCAATGAAGACTCACGTCTGGGTACGGGCAACATCTATATCCTTGTTCAGTGAGGCAGCACGTGGCCTGGTCATTACACTTCATTTGTCCACCGGGACAGGTGATGTAGCAGGACACAAAGCCACAGAGGCCTAGAAGCACAAACTTTTCCAGCATCTAAACAGTTACAGAGAAAAAAAAATACTTGAAAAGGACATCAGAGGAATATGAAAAAATAGACATACTTGTCATAAAGCAGAATTGTACTGTTATTTGTACTTACCCTCCAGTGGTGTGGTCTGTATCACATGCACTTCCTGGGTATCTGCCCATGCATATACAAGTAAACCAGGAAGTTTTGTTCTTTAGTCATGTGACCACTCCTTTTATAGAAGCTTACTAGATCACTGGCCTAACCCACATTTTATTTCCCAATAAGCCATAAAATGGCTCCAGTTTACAGGCTGAAATCACAAGACATTAACATATTTCTCCAATGTGGCAATGACAGAAAAGTCTGCCAGTGTCAAACTTTGTACAAATCAGTGGAAAAAAGCCTGAATGTGTTATTTTTTTTATTGTTTAACCACATGAGAGCATTTTGACAAAAATAGTATGAAGTAGTTATGAAATTAAAATCAGAAACTTAAAAATGATACAATTTCTTGTAAATATTTTAAGACATGTATGTGCAACAATTTGCAGACAAACCTCTAATGCATTTCAATACAGCAAAAATATGAAAAAAGGGGTTGTGACTTTTATGCATTATGAATCCAAGTGTATCTAAAGTTAATAAGTTAATAGATTTTAGGATTGTTAATGGTTAAGATATTTTTAACAGTACCCATTTAGTTTACACAATCAAATTATAAGATTTACACATACACCTTTTGTGGTAGAGAATAAGCCGCATTCATGACAACAGTTGAGCAATAGCCAAACGATATGGAGTGAAACCATTTTGCCACTCATCCAAACCTGATATTTGCCAGGATACTGGTAAGTAACAGGGCAGAACTGAGGAAACCACATGAATGAGTGGTTAAACATATTCTCTTTAAAACTTTTGTCCAGTTGACAGAATCAAAATGTATTTTTAAATGGAACTTACCTGAATGAGGGATTACAGAGACAGTGGAACCATAGTTCTGGAATATTGGCATTATTTCAGGCAAGTTATGGCCACTTACTTAAACACAACCTTCTCAAATTAAAATACCAGCTCTAAACTCCACCCCTTACTTATTGACAATATAAACAACCTTCAAGGTAAGTTTGAAACAAAAGTAAGATGGTCAAGAGGGAAGGATTCATTAATTCAGACGTAAAGTGAAACAGCACACCACTAACAGACTAATTCACATTTTCTGAAAATGTTTTTAAATCCCTCAATGTAACACAGAGCAGAAAATACAATAAAATTTGAGACCTAGATTACGTAATAGAAATATAGAAACTTAAAAAAAAAAAAAAAGATTGCGCTTTCTAGACTGACTGAAATCTGAGGAAAAGATAATACAGAACAAAGAAGAAGCAGATATTCATTAAAAATGGTACACTATGTAACTTCTGGGGAATCGCACGCCACAGTGTGGACCTGCTCACACTCAAAATGCATGTTTCCAAGTTATTTTTGAACAGAAGACTTATAAATGAGTGATTATACTCCCACATTAGTCCCAAACCAACAAGTTACATAGTGCACCTTTACACATACAAGCTGGTAGTTCTGTTTCTGTTGTATTCAGAAAGTATGTGAGGATGGATTCACATGCAGCATACAGGCACTAGCAAACAGCCCTACAGCTAATTAGGCAGCGTTCATGTTCTAGAATTTGATGCTGTCACAATTTCAGATGGAGGGCAGGGGTCTATAATGGATATTCTGTTGTTTGTTTGGTTTTTTTGTTTGTTTGTTTGTTTGTTTTTTAAGAAATATAAAAATGTATGCTTCTTCAAATGTCATTATAACTGACAAGACATGGCATCCCAAAAATTAGACAGGAGAAGATTTTGAAATTATTTAAAATAAAAAAATTGTAGCAGTGTTTTTCGGAATAAGCTTCTCACGAGTTTGTTGTTACAACGGCAAATTTAAACCTATTTTTGTGGCAAATGTAAAAAATGTGTGCACAACTTTGTCCCATGTTTTTTAGTGAGAACTTGTAGCACAAGATCCATCCCCATTTTCCATTATTTTTATGGATAGGCTCCACAAAAATGTATGCTTAAGACGTTGAACTTAGTACCAGTTTTTGTTTAGACCAGCTAGACAGCTAGACCAGTTAAAATAACACATTCCACCATAGAATTCTGACCTGCCCTCTAACTCAATTCTACACTACAGGGATTCTAGATTGTCTTGAGGTCACATGAACACACCCTTGTGTGCACTACTCAAATTCTGAGTCTGACTGAACCTTGACCTTGACTTGCTTTTTCTTGTTGCGATTCTTATGCTTCTTCTTCTTTTTCTTGGATTTGTCCTAAAAAATGTAGGATAGAAACAGCATTAAAAGAAGTCACATGAAGTCTGACATGTCTAGCTGAAATCTAAAGCCCCATTCACACATATATACAGATGCATATATATAAAATATGTTTTAAAAGATTTTGTTATTTCGACATGGAAGCTTTTAAGCTAAGAGACCAAAATGACCAAAAAATAAAAATTGTTTTGCCTGTAGTGTCTCCCTTTAAGGTCAAAGCAATCAACATACGGTACATTTGATACTTACAGAAATCTTGTCCCTTCCTTCACTTTTCTTCTTTTTGGACTCCTATGAAAACCAAGTATTTATATGACGCCAAAACATGAATGACATTAGCAGTACTTTTTTGAACCACTATCAGATCTGTCCCTGTCGAAAAGCTTGATGCATGGGGACTTTGTTCTACTGAGCTAAATAACACCCCAGTAGTTTTTATTATATTATACTATTGAAGTGGTACACAAGTGGACCAAACCAAATAAGCTGTACTGGAAAGATTCACATGTACCACTAAAAAGTATGCACCCTTTAAATTTGATAATACTCAACACAGGACCTTACCTTGGTTTCAACATTGGAGTCTTCTTCTGAAGAGTCTGATGCCAACCGTTTTCTTTTTCTTTTCTTTTTAACAGGCTTTTCATCCTAAGAAACAAATGTTTACATTGAAATGGCAACTAAATTTTGCAAATACAAGCTAAAATGTATTTTACAATTCACACCTCATCTTCAGATTGGGACAAAGGGCTACTGAAGGAATCAGAAGACGAGGAGGAGGAGGATGATGAAGAGTGCTTAAACAGAACAACAGAAGCAAGCCTTGTTAGATTTGAGCTTAGACATGTCAGGACAGCAGTAAACTTGCTCTCACCCTGCTGCACTGCCGCTTCTCCTTCTTCTTCTAATTGCAGAGCAGACATAGTAGATTATAACATTGTTACAATAACACAAGATGACACAAGATGACATTATTAGGAACTAGAAAGGCAGAGCACCACTGAAAATCAAATAAGTAAAACAAAACATTGCAAAATGGCAGAACTATCAAAGTCAAAATAGGTCAGCTGTGGATTGTCTGCATCTATAGCATTTTATTGTCCCATAATCAGAAAATGCACATTATCATGCTATATGTTAGCTTTACCGTAATAGCAAAATACTGCACTGTTGTCTGAGAACTGTGAAAAGAGCTTAGAAAGTCTTTGCAATGAATAATTAGGATGCTCAGAAAGTGTAAGGTAAATGAGGAATAACTTTGGACCACTGCAAACTATTTAAAATGAACTAGTTCTGGTTTTCACATTTTTACAGGTAGCTACAGTGCCTTTGAAGTCATAATTTCAATAGAAGAAAGTTGTAATAATAGATTAGAGATACTCAACTTTTTTTAACAACATGACATTTTAAATATTTAAGAACCACCACCATATGAAAGTGAATACAGACTGCAAAACAATGGCGATTGGATGAGATAAAAACTTACATAAAAGCCCATAAAAGATGTCAAACTTTATATGTTGTCCCCATGTGTGTAAATATTTTTAGATAGATTGCCACTGCAGTTATCTGCCACTTATCAGCTGTTGAATCAAGTACATTACAGTCCGTGGAGGACTCCTCCGAAAAACCTTACCGGCTGTGCTCCAAGCTAAAACAATTAGTGCTTTGTGTGGTGCGGGTCCCACAAATCACGGCACCTACTTTTTCTACCCCCCTACCCCATGTCAATTAAAAAAGGCTACATTGAAAGTTAACTTATTATAATGACTACAGTTTGTTAGTCTGAAAAAGTTCCTGGAAGTAGTCCTGTCATGCATTGAACACAGGTCAGGCTTACCGCTCTTTTTCACTGACAAAATTTCAAAACTTTTCCATTACTTTTTCATGACCCACAGTGAATTTTCCATGACTTTACAGCACCCTGTATGTATAGAACTGAGCATACTTTTAGGGCTAAATATGAAATGTTAACCCTTTCCACTCCTCTTATGGATTGGGATTATAGTTTTTAAGCATTCAAAATACTGTCAGTGCATTTATTGTCATCTCTTAAACAAAAGGCACATACTAACGATAACTTAACAGATCGCTGTAGCTGCGTGAAAGAGATACTTAAATTCCATGACTTTTCCAAGATTTTCATGACCATGGGAACACTGATGTGTTAAAAGCACCCTACCCCGTTGCCTTTTACAACACGTTGTCACACGTGGTCACACAAAAATAAGCATCGCACTCTGACAGTCCACAAACACTTCACTATATAAAGCATTATGCTTTCACCAGATCTGTTATCTGATCAACATTGGCAAATGTTCTGACTACTGATCAGAAATACAGCACCATAGCTGACATTTTATCTTCACTACTTTTTCTATAAATAATATATACATAATAAATATCCTGTTTTTATTTCATGTCCCAGTGGATGAACAAGTAGCCATATATCTTTCTTTCATCCTTACTATAGTTAAGTACAAAAGTATAATTAATGTAATGTGAGAGCCACTGTATCCAGATAATTTCCCTTGTGGATGAACAAAGTTTGTCTAAATCTAAGTCTAAGTACAGTGAATACATTTCTTATTTGCCTGTGTCCAGAGCCTGGACCAAGTACATGCCATTCTTTCAAATAAATTAATCATTGCATTTATATAGCGCCTTTCAAGATAGCCAAAGCAATTTACAGTTCATTATTCAGTCACTCCACACTCAGTGCCAATCTGTGACATTGGCCCCTCTGACCATCACCATCACTCACGCACATACACACACACCACTTTCATACTAGGCAATGTGGGTGAAATGTCTTGCTTAAGGACACAATGACAATTTCTGCCACTGGCGCCCCCGTGGCACCTGATTTTCCCAGTGGTATCCCATCCAAGTACTAACCAGGCCCGGCCTTGCTTAGCTTCTGAGATCTGATGGGATCGGGCTTTGACAAGCTGGTATGGCCACATTTTAGCCAAATTTTACACTATCAGACTACTAAAAGGAAATGAAAGATATTGAAAATAAAACATCACAAAATAAAAGGAAATAATGAGACATATTTGCATTGTTTTGCAACCATCAATAAATCTAATAATGGGTCACAAGAGGTGACCAATTAGAAAAAGTGAGTTGCCAGAAAAAAGTTTGACTGGCATAGACTATAATGGCGACCAGTGGACAACTTTTAGTAGTGCAACAATTTGGTATTATCATTTTTAATCATCCATTAAAACCATTTTAACATCCAATGGAGGCTTTTATGTAAGGTTTTAACTGTATTCTTTTGGATCCTGGCCAAAGTGACTAAACTATATTGCTCTAATGCATTTGCAATTACTACATCTTATACTAGATATTACAACTTCAGTGTCAAATTGTAACAAGTTTATTCTCGTAGCACAAGCAATTTTATTTTTTAATAAAGTCTAATACTCCTTAAAGAGCAGATGTCATCACTGACATTGTATTACGGTGTGCTTCAAACAATCACTTCAATTCTACATTTCTGAACATTGTAATGACATTAGCATTTTAAATACTCTTTTGAGATCCCTGTGTTAATCCTGCAAGGTCTTTTGTTTAGTGAGTACCTCTCGCTTGTCCTTGTCCCTATGCTCTGTGGCTTTCTTTTCCTTTTGATTCTCCCTTGCCCCAATTATCTTTTCCCTGTTCTTTGCCAGTTCTTTCCGCCATCTCTGTAAAAAAAAAAAAAAAGAAAAAAAAGAAAAGAAAGTTTAATAGAAGATCGCAGTGATATGTAGCAGTGTTACAAAGCAGTGTTGAATTCAAACCTCATTCATTTTGTCTTCAAAATCAGCTAAGGCACGAGAGCCCTTTTTCTTTTTATTTAGTTGCTCTTTTAGTTCCTCCCTTCAAGTAAAGAAATAAAATTAGACAAGGACAGAAACATGGGTGATTCTAAAACCAAAGGTACACTACACTTCAACTTTTGTTTTTATTAATTATGTTATATTATCTTATGTTATTAATGTTTTAAAAGTGCTTGAAGAAATAAAACTATGTAACAGACAGTTGCTGCTTGACATTAATGTATTATAATCAGATACAAAAAAGGAGTATGCTCCTGCTTACTTATTTGGAAATCTACAACAACCATGTAGGAAATATGCAATATCTTGCATTTAGAGCTTCAAAGTTTTGTTGTCTAACTTTAAATTTCTAGGCCCTCTGAACACATCACAGCAGATCTGACAAATGCATTTTATCAAAGTCAACTGTGTAATGCTGATTTATATGAGAATATATAAGTCTATGAGAATTGTGACCCATTTGACATGAAAACATGTCAGCAATGTAAATGTAAATACATCACTTAATTTACTGTCTTTAAATGGAAACAAAATTGTGAATGTTAAAAGAAGACATAATTATATTTTTGAATAGCTATTCAAAGGATATAAACTGATAGATATTTTCATCAATAATACCATCAGGTCACCTGAATTTTGTCCTGCAAGGGTCCAATGTAACAACTACCTTTAATGAAATTGTACCACTGATAAATACAGCCAGCTAACAGGAAATGTAGCCCTAATTATGGAATCACCTTATAACATTTTGGTGGAGACCTCACCATGTTGGACGTGGTCTGCTCAAGTAGTCCTGTATGCTGGGCCCTGAACTCTGCACTGGACCCCTTGCTCGTGCCGCTGCAATAGGGTTAATATAAGCCTAAATTGCAGATGGGAGAGAATAAAAAGTTACTATTCAGAAAATACCTTCATCATAGCTGAAATAAATAAGATTAAAATATGTGATTGTGTGGGGATAGAAATCTGATAATCTGGTAATACTACTCGTTTTCTTCTTTGTACTAATGGGAAATTTCTGATTACTTCTCTGTGTGTAAAATTCCTCAGTTGTCCAAGTAGAATCCATGGCATTAGGAGAAATTCAATTTGTCAATTGGACAAAAGTTTATTTGGTCGAATACATTTTGCAGCTCACCCAAGCTGCTTCTTCAGTTCTGGTCAAAATGCTGATGGACACTGCTTTATATCTGCTTGAAGGAAGGAGATAACTACTCTGAAAATAACACCCTACTTGCTTACAATTTCTGTTACCTAGTTAGGCCTATTGAACTTGCACTGAGTGTGGGGTCATATTAGCATAATCATTCATAAGCATTCAGGACCATAAAGGGGTGCTTTCACACCTCTGGATCTGACCTGAAATTGTCTCCTTTTACTTTTCTATATAAAAGTTCAGCTGTAGAAGGTTATGACTCACTACTTCTGTTGCATTCTGTCATTACTTATTGCAGCTCATATTTTTAACAATATTGTACATTTCGAATAATTTTTGGGGACTAATTCTGCTTTATTGTTTAAAATTTATCATCTATATATACCACAGCAGTATATCGCACTTCAAAATTTGGTATCACGCCAGGCCAAGTGATTAAACAGGGACACTGCTGAAGCTTGTCTTTTTAGTTGGAGTGATGCACAGAAGCATACACACCTAAATGTATGCCATTTTTATTTAAAGGTCCTATATTACACTATTTTCTGATGATGTCATGTCGTTTCTTCATCAAAAACCTGGAGTTGTGTTTTTTATTCACACATTAACAAAGAAACCCTGCATATTTAGGCTGAGTTCAGTACATAAGCTGTCTCAAACAGAAAATGCACCACCTTGTGATATCAGGTGCTCCACTGCATTTTTTCAACTTTATATGCCATCACTATAATCATTTTGAGATTTTCAGCCCTGGAGCTAAAGGTAAAAGGTAGCTGTCAACTTGAAAACTTTTGCTTTGTGACATTACACACCATCACATAAAACATGTTAACTAGTTGTTAAATAAAGGTGACATTAGGAAAAAAAGTCAGCCAAAATGTTATGTTTTGTAAACATTCTGACCATATTTTATTTTTGACAATACCCCAAAATGAAGAATGACTGGATCACTGATACAAAAATACATCATTCTATAGAGCCAGAAAACATTTGAATGAACGCTAAACTCGGTATTTATCATCTTAAATTTTCCACTGATTAGCTAATATTACGGTAACTGAAACTTGTGTGATGTCACAAGCCGGAGCTCTATGCTAGTCCTATTTATTATCCACTGTCACTAGAGTCCATCCATAGCTCCTTTAGCTGTCCACTTCTCCCTTCGAAACAATCAGTGACTGACTAATGATAAAGGATTAGTTATAAATGTAAGATTGGTGGGCAGTACGCATCAGTGTATTTCAAAACGTAGGAATTAAACGGGGCCCATTAACAACGTTTAAGCTTAGTATTTGCCGAATAATGCACTCAAAAATAATGCATGTTTTCAGACACACAGCCTTACAGACGTGCTTGAGCGAGAGGAATGCAATGTTCATGTTGATCCATCTGTTTCTAAATTATTTTAAAAACTCACCACTCGATTGTCTCGCTTTCCCATCTTCAGCTGCAACTATTAAGTTAAATAACAACGGTTTCGCTAACAAAAACAGAGAAAATGTTTAGGTTAGGCTAACAGAGCTAGCTTCTACCATCTTGTTGTTGTTGTAGACTGGGCACAGTCAGTACATTGCTGCCCTCCACTGGTTAGGTGCAGTTGCACCTTTGAATGAATCGGCAGTATCACTATGATGAAATAACCACCCGCTATGCTTGACTGGTTCAAAAAATAATTCGTTCATAAAATAATTGCCCCAGACCCGGGTTCAAACCCTGCTAGGATCAGAAGACCCAATATTGCAGTCATGAACATAAGATTTTATCAGATGTCTAAGTTAAATATTACGACGATACGACGGAGTATAAGGGTCAGATGAAAAAAAAAATGCTGGCACTACGAGAATAAAGTCGTAACATTTCGACATTAAAGTCGTAATATTATGAGAATAAAGTCGAAGCCAGAAAAAGTCGTAATTTTACGAGAATAAAGTCGTAATTTTACGAGAATAAAGTCGTAATTTTACGAGAATAAAGTTGAAGTTAAAATAAAGTCGTAATATTATGAGAATAAAGTTATAATATTACGAGAATGAAGTCATAATAAAATCAAAGTCAAAGTGAAAAATGCGACAGAAGAAGAACCTTGTTTTTCAATATAAAACTAAAAATAAGAAAACAAACAACAATTTTCTTCATTATTTGCGCCTCCGGACTGAACCAGGATTGAACCAATACTAAACCAGGACTAAACCAGGACTAAACGAGGTCCAAGACCAGACCGGGACTGAGACCAGAACTTAAACAAGGACTGAGTCAGGGACCAAGACTGAGACACCGTGGTGAAGTTAGTTTTACGTTAGACGTTAGATATTCAGTTACGCATCAACAGCGGAGATGTTCATTGCCTGTGCCCCGCTTGCTCGATCACGGTGCGGGGAGCTATACACCAAAGCTCCGCTGAGTCCGCGGGTTAGGGACCGTCAATAAATTACAATTGCATTGAATGGAGTCTGCAAAATAATAATAATAATAATAATAAAATAAATTAAATAAGAAAAAAAGAAAAAGGGAATCAAATAAAAAGAAACAAAAAAGGGGTTGTGCATGTACGTTTTATAAAATATTTGTTATTTTTATATATTTTGAGGGTTAATTAGTAAATACATTTTTTCAATATCTTCCAGATCAATTAATCTAAAAACGCCAAACCAAGTTATTATAGTAGTCCTACTCCTCAGGTATCACGCACACCTTTTGATTTTCCAAATTAACCCTTTGTGGAATTTTTAGGAATTTTTAATCTTGAAAATCTGTGATTTTTTTCAATAGCTTCTAAGGTAGATGACCTACCAACTCCAAACCAAGTTATTATAGTAGTCCTACTCCTCAGGTATCACGCACACCTTTTGGTTTTCCAAATTAACCCTTTATGGAATTTTTAGGAATTTTTTCCTTGAAAATCTGTGATTTTTTTCAATAGCTTCTAAGGTAGATGACCTACCAACTCCAAACTAAGTTATTATAGTAGTCCTACTCCTCAGGTATCACGCACACCTTTTGGTTTTCCAAATTAACCCTTTATGGAATTTTTAGGAATTTTTTTCCTTGAAAATCTGTGATTTTTTTCAATAGCTTCTAAGGTAGATGACCTACCAACTCCAAACCAAGTTATTATAGTAGTCCTACTCCTCAGGTATCACGCACACCTTTTGGTTTTCCAAATTAACCCTTTATGGAATTTTTAGAAATTTTTAATCTTGAAAATCTGTGATTTTTTTCAATAGCTTCTAAGGTAGATGACCTACCAACTCCAAACCAAGTTATTATAGTAGTCCTACTCCTCAGGTATCACGCACACCTTTTGGTTTTCCAAATTAACCATTTGTGGAATTTTTAGGAATTTTTTCCTTGAAAATCTGTGATTTTTTTCAATAGCTTCTAAGGTAGATGACCTACCAACTCCAAGCCAAGTTATTATAGTAGTCCTACTCCTCAGGTATCACGCACACCTTTTGGTTTTCCAAATTAACCCTTTATGGAATTTTTAGGAATTTTTAATCTTGAAAATCTGTGATTTTTTTCAATAGCTTCTAAGGTAGATGACCTACCAACTCCAAACCAAGTTATTATAGTAGTCCTACTCCTCAGGTATCACGCACACCATTTAGTTTTCCAATTTAACCCTTTATGGGATTTTTAGGAATTTTTTTTCCTTGAAAATCTGTGATTTTTTTCAATAGCTTCTAAGGTAGATGACCTACCAACTCCAAGCCAAGTTATTATAGTAGTCCTACTCCTCAGGTATCACGCACACCTTTTGGTTTTCCAAATTAACCCTTTATGGGATTTTTAGGAATTTTTTTCCTTGGAAATCTGTGATTTTTTTTCAGTAGCTTCTAAAGCAGATGACCTACCAACTCCAAACCAAGTTACACCTTTTGGTTTTTCCGAATTAAAAATTTATGTTTTTAATGGAGTTGGTAGGTCATCTACCTTAGAAGCTATTGAAAAAAATCACAGATTTTCAAGGAAAAAAATTCCTAAAAATTCCATAAAGGGTTAAATTGGAAAACTAAATGGTGTGCGTGATACCTGAGGAGTAGGACTACTATAATAACTTGGTTTGGAGTTGGTAGGTCATCTACCTTAGAAGCTTGGAGGGGGAGATAATTATTACGAGATAATACGAGATCCTATCTCGTAACTACGAGATAATCCCCCCCTTCCCCCTCCAGATTTTTTTTTCACTGACTACAATGCTCTTTCGTAGTGCTGCACTGAGCCCTTTTGTCAAACGAGGTCCGAACAGGTCCTAACACTAGGTCACGTCACGTAGGCAAGGGGGCGGGGTTGTCGCGGTACAGATTACAGTAGGGGCCATTTTACACATTCTCCAAGAGTTAGCAGAAGAGGTAAGTTTGGAAATTTGCTTAGTACTCATAATACCATATGTAAGCTATATTATTGCTAACTGAGCTTCTCACGGTACATACTGCCACTGTGTAGCTACGGTGATATGACAGAATCAGAAGACCAAGTGATTTATTTGTTTATTTGCCGTATAAAGTCCTCCGATTTCGCGGGAGAAGACGTGAAATAATCGTGCCAAGTTTCATTGTTCGTATATCTGTTTTCTCCAAGTCCTTGAATACAGATGTACGAATTTACATAGGGTACAAGGTCCCAAGGTAGGGGGCTGTGGAGTTAATGAGGCTACATGAGATTAGCATAGCATAATCTACAGAATGCGCACATAGCTACTTTATATGGTCTTTTCACACCGCTACGCTACATAATGCACACATGGCTAATTCATATGATAATTTATTCACGTGTGGCGACATTGGATTGTTATTATTTAACGTGAGGGCTGTGATTCCTTTGTACAGAGGGCAAACCATGACCCTCCAAAGCACTGTAACTTTGCTACGTTTTCTTTGTATGAGAAATGTTATAAATTAGGGTGACCAAACTTCTGTTTTTCCCCGGACATGTCAAGTTTTTGCGTCCTGTTTTTTTTTTTTTAAGTGATGGAAATGTCCGTGTTTTCATTACCTTTCATTGGGCCATTAAATTGAGCGGCTCTCGTAGCTCTGTGACTCAGAAGGAGCGAGCAGACACAAACAGTCGGTCAGTCTGCAACATGCCGAAGGGCAAATGCGCATTTAACAATGACTTGGACAAGAAATTCTCCGATTTCCGTCCCGGTCCGGACAAGAGGGGGGCCATGTGCACGGGTTGCTAGGTGAGAGCAGCTCAGTGTCGAGACCCTCCCCCAGTCAGGTGTCCGGTTTTTCACAAACGGAAATATGGTCACCCTAATATAAACAAAGCCTGCAAACCAAGTAGAATTTCCTCCCCTTCGTCTGTCAGTACACATATGGCCTAGACGGTGTCGGCGGCAAGGTGGGGCATTTGAGGGCCGTGCCCCCCCCCTAGCGGCCACTGGTGCCCCACCCCCCAGCACAGGCCGTTATTATGACTATTTTAAAATGATTTTGATTGGCACATTTCACTTGGGGCTGAGGGCACAAACTTTACTGCGACATCAATGACATCACAGTCTGTTTATTTAGTGTAGTGTGATTGGACAACTGTTCTGTCACTCATGTCACGTCACGTCAACCTGCTGCGTCAACTCGTAGCAGCTTCACGATTAGCGGCAGCTGCTACTTCAGCTTAAAGCTCCACGCAGGAAATGGCGAAGACAGAGTCAAAGACACACTGACAGACCCGCCGCCAGGACCCGGGACTGTAGCCGCCGGGGCCAGGGCAGTCGCTCGCTGCTCTATCCGCCTTTGCCCGCTCGTTTCTGGGTGTAAAAGTTTGACCTGAGCATAGCGCGCAGAGGCATAATTCTACCTGGTGTCCTGGTGCTGATATGGACTGACCGTAACTTTCAGATTTAAATGGGAAGTGGGATTAAGACAACCAGCTCGTGCACTCGGCTCCTGGACCTCGCGTCACGGACCAGACTGGACCAGGATTTTGACCAGTTTCATCTCTTCATATTGGACAATAGACTTTTGGAGACAGAACCAGTGGGACAGCGGATAGAGGAAACACTCTGCTTCAGTCTCTGGAGAAGGTAAGAGGCTGGTTTTCATTAGTTTGCGGCAAATCTGAACTTGGAGCCTCACAGGTAAATTGTGTTATAGTGTTAATAGTTAAATAGTGCGTAAATGAGCTCGCGGGTGCGATGGAGCTGCTCTGGTTGTTCTGTCGTGTGCTGTAGGAGCGGCATCTGTGTTCATGTCTCTTATTGTAGTTTTGCTGACGTTGTTGGGTCTGGGTGTGAGCGGCGTGTTACGTTGTGTTGTTGCGTTGTGTTGTTGCGTAAAGTTTGTGCTTGGCTGTTCATTGTGCTCTGATCGATACTGTTCAGCCAATACTAACCAAAATGTCTGTTTCTGGTATTTGTTATAATACTACAGCCTATATATATAATACATATATTATTCATAATATATATTTATAACTTTGCCCTTGGTGCCCCTCCCAAAAATTATACCATCAGCCGCCACTGGTCCTGGTTTAGTCCTGGTTTAGTCCTGGTTTAGTCCCGGTCCCTCAAGTCTCAGGTCACTATAGAACAGGACTGGACGGCGTTACCCTCGCGTACCACGCTCACTACAGCCCTGGTGCTGTCC